TATGAATGAAGAGAATAGACTGATTACTTTATTCTATGTAGTGCAGACTTAATTATTTTCTCTCTTCTTTGTAAATATGGTTATTTCCCCAGAAAAGAAAGTGAATTATGCGGCGCATATTTGTGAGCTGAATAATTAGTAATTATCATAAAAATTTAAATGAATTATATATTTCGCTTATTCGCGTGTGTAATTGCACGAAATAGCACTGTATACTCTAAAAATGCGCTGATGTGTATGAATAATATGGATGAAAAATATAAATCAAGTGTTAATCTAACTGTATCTGAAGAGAAATAATTATGTCTCACCAAGTAAAGTAGTGATTAAAAACCATTTCATACAGATTTCTTCATATAAATAGAATAAGTTGCGTAGAAGAATTTTTTTATAGCGATTTTCCTTAGAAATTATTCCTTCCTTATACACCTTATCCTGCGGGTGGCGAATTCTTCCCTCTTTGACGCGGTGAGAAGTAAATTAAGGATTCTGTTCTTAAATAAATGTAACTCCTGTTTCCCCTTGAAATTATATATTTCATTAATCACAGTGGTCGTATATTTTATAATGATGCCGTATTAATAATTAATTATATATTTCCCAACCGTGGCGCATTATTTGCGTAGTGTGCGCGAGGTAGTACACTTTCTCACAGAGTTCATTTATTTGCGGAGTTTTTACATCAATATTGTATGATCTGATCCACCTAATAATATATAGGATGTACACATCTCAATATGTTCCCTAATATCTCTTGTATTATGACTATTTATAGAATCCTATACTGTGCTGTAACGCATAACGCTAGGTTCTTGAGCTGATCGAACACCATGTCACCTAACGGTAAATTAGGCGATGTATTGTCAGTTATGATTATAGTACGGCTGCGTGAATGTATTATCAGCTCATGAAATAGGGCAGTGGTCAAATAATATTATGTGAATAGTACAATCAAATTTTCTATGCGTCGCATTCCGTGAATTTACGCCTCTATTTATGGGAGCAGCACTGGAAACCCTTCTTTATTTGCAAATCCTCATTTTGTAGTATATGGTGCGTAACGGAAGATATGATTCGGGTGTATATACTGCAAATCCTGTGTATGGACTCATCATCATCATATATCAACTAAAGGAAAGAAGTAATTAACAGAAATAGGAGAGAATATCCTTAACAGGATTCCTGAGAATCCTAATATATTGCTACGCGTTATTTAAACTTTGAATTATTTGATTTAATGTAACTTTTTATTGAACAAATTTCTTTCTTATATTTTCCGTTGTAATGGATCTAAATAGATATTGTCACATTTGTGATGTAATATCTGCAGAACTTAACCTGTAATATGCGCCTTCGAAATTTAAAAGAAATATCGATTTTCATAATTCTATACATATCGTTGCATATGTGTATAGAAAGAATTCTTCGCCTAATTTTTATTATTGTTATAAGACTGTTTTCTTATGGTGATTAGGGTTTCATCGATTGACTCCCATTATCTAATTTATATTTTCTTATGCATTCCTTCTGGATGCAAAAGTAATGAAATATTGCAATTTTATAATGCTTTTCCAATTTTCTCATATTTATGTGAAACATATAGAATTTGCAAACACATAGGAAGAGACACCTGAATATTGATATCGAAGTGTTTTCAGAACCATATGGGGAAAGCAGTATCAGTACTCAAGGGAAGAAGTAAAAATAAGAGAAACTAATTACTAAAAAAGTAGGAATCTGGGTAGTCGGAATATATCCTACGGAAGTCCCCTCACAATTCTGATTAGGGAAAACACGATTATGGCAGGTTTCCTTGTATGCATACTTTACAAATTTGGGGAACAGTGTATGGTATATGTGCATAATGACATATAACTTGTGGCTTCCACCATTTCGCAATATGTAGAAATATATTTTAGTTGGCGCTTACAAATGAGAAGATGCTCAAAATAGGCAAACGATATAAGGCTTCAGAGATCGCGTTATATGTTGAGAGAGTCCTATTTTTTTCTTACTCTAAGAGTGTGTGCGAGAAATTTTACATAAAAGTGTAAATATTCTTTTTTATTATCTCTTTTACAATCAACGTACATCTCTCATCATATTTCCTATAAGCATAACCTAAAGGACTTAAGTAAAAAATTCCAGTGAGTACGATAAATATTGAAGTATGCTCTTCTTCTTATGTACTAAGTGAGCCCAGAATAGACTGCTTAAGATTTTTTTTTTATTTTTCTGGGTAATGTCTTTATATTATAAAAGTACTGTTAGGTATTATCGTATTTATAGAAGAATATAATTTTACAGAGTGAAAGAGCTAAGAACAATACCTTTCTTTCTGAGATATAATTAATTATTAAGCCTAGCGCTTGTTTTTTTTTTTTTGAGACTTTCTTGTAAAAGGAATAACAGATAGGTTTCTGTCATAAATTTAATTCTTTCCAATAGTTGTAATTTTCTAAATATTTAATATTTAATTACAGAGACACTTCAAAGAATGAGAATAGAAACATTCTCATTCTTTACATACATTAAAAAAAGAATGAGCCGAAGGAGTTACATAAATTTAGATTGTGATGGATTTGAAAGTAATTGCAAATTATGTGAAGAATGATTTTCTGCGGTGAATAAACCCTGTCTTATATGGAATGTTATTTATTCTGCATCATGGTGTATTCTTACGAACATATAGAGGCAATACTATTTACTGTTGTTTTCCCAGGTTGTCGTTAAATTGTCAGAGTGGTAATAATATATCACAAGAAATGTATCATGCAGAGGGTGGAAAAACTGCAGTATTGAATTATGAACAGACACTAAGAGAGACAGATATGTATAAATATAACCACGTTTTCCATTTTGAATATCGTTAATTATAATAAATTAAATAAAAACGTACAGCATTCCTCTTTCACAAACTCTAAGAGAATTTACATTATGGGTGTAAACTAACGATGAATGAATTTCGAGAGTCTAAGGGAGATAATAGCTGAAAAAATACACATAATTTAGATACCTCTATACAGTGCTATCATTTATCGATAACAGCCTATGTGTTCTTGAGCTCTTTACACCTTTGTATGGAACATATATATACCCATGAATATACATACATATAT